AACTCAAGGAAAATTGTGCGTTTTTATTTTAGCAGGAAGAGGAAGCACCAAACCAGATGAGAATTTGAATTTGGAGCTATGAAATGCTCCAAACCAGTTGTTAGCATGCTATGAAATGTAGCCATTAGCGGTTAGCATTTGACTGTATAGTTTACCAATCATTCACATCCTGTCTGTCGATGTTTTTGCCACATAGATGGTTTTAAGGAGGTCAGGGTTTAAACAACTCAGCATTTTGTGTGAGCTTTAGGTTAGCAACAGAAGTAGCAACTCAAGAGCCAATTCCAATCGTACGTCAAACTAAAAGTTGGCGAAAGACTTTATTTTAACAAAAAATAAATAAAATTGGAGTGCTGCAATTTTTTTATTTTAAATAGACAAGAGAATCTAAGAAGCAGAGAGTAAAACAGCAAGAGACAAAAAAAAAGGGAATAAAGTAGGAGCAAAGAACACAAACACTGCAATCAGCTAAACAAGGCCTTCCTCTGTTTACGGCCAGAGATGTGTGTTGGAAATATTTACTCACACTCCAAGAATGTTGATGTCAATAAACCTCTAAATCTTAAAAATTGACATCGTCAAAGTTCTGTATAAGCATACACACGCTGCATCGAACCAAACAAAACGCCAAACCACTTAGTTCTCACACACTCTGATGTATGCACACAATCAGGGGAAACCAGTGCTTGTCTGAACCGGACCAAGATCAACCCTCATTTGCGCAGGAGTAGGTAAACAAACGGCGAAGGAAGTGTTTATAATGAAAAAAAAAGGGAAGTGCTATGTTGACAACTGTGTACTCTGTGTTTTTGTTATGTGTCTCTGTGTGTTTTTCTTTTTTTTTTTTTTAATTCACATATTTTATAAAATTCAATAAATCTAAGCAAGATGATTCAAAATAAACGAGGAGGCAAGTAATGGAGACTTATTTTCTCAGGGGAAGATAAGCAGACTTATGTGTATGTTTTGGGTTGAGTGGGGGGGGCGGGGGGGCAGTGAAATCAAAGTTTGCGTGTGGACGCTACCCAGCCCCACTTCCTCAGCAGGCCAGAGACATCACAGCCAGCTGTATGGATGCTTCTCTTGCTTGTGGGCGAACGCACACACATGAAAGTTTCTCTTTTTTTTTTTTTTTTTTCATGGGGGGTTGGGGGGGAAGGGGGTGGGGGGGGCAGCTTCTTCAGCGAAGCCAAACAAACAGAGGAATGTTCCGGCTTGTGTGCCGTCACAGACAAATTAAAGTGACAGAGATGCCAGCGGTGCCGTCCAGAGTCTGTTCTGAACACGCAGAAACATAAACCCAGAATGGCATCGACTTGTGTCAACTTTACATCGCAGATGGAAGGTGTGGATGAAACCCTGGGATGATTTTTTTGAGTGTAAACTAACAGAAAAGTGATATGGAGATATGGAGCAAGGAGCCTCGGGCAGCATTGGGTGGATCCGGGAGCTGTCTGCAGAGATCCAGATAAGGATGCCAAATAACAGCGCCTGTCCTTAGTGGCGTGACAACGAGGGCAAAACAAACCAGCTGTTATGGGAGTGCCCAGCCAGGCCTAAATCACAGGCTTTGGAGTTTGGGGGCACAATAGCCCTGCAAAGCATACAAATATACGTTGCCTGTCTTTCTAGCCGTAGGAATCTAAATAATTTCCCTAATAAAAGTCTTCACACTGGAACAAGTTCATGAAAATCTTTTCAACGCCCAAACTCAAAACCGTACACAAACCCCTGGGATATAATTACATTTAAAGGGGTAAGGCGCAGCAGTTAAACATTCCCTTTCAAAATGGCCACACCTTTAACAAGCGGAGCGTAAATCTTTCTTCATCTTGCTTATGATTTGTTTTACATAAACAGAAGTGGGACCAACACACCCACATGAGTTGTGCAAGAAGCTACAGAATACATGTTAAGAAAGATTGACAATAGTACCAAACGTAGCACAGCAGAATAGACTATCCTTATGATAGCAGTGACAGTGCAATTTTTGTAATCTAGAAAGTACAGTTATCACATTTTGAGCCTTTGAAGGTGTGCTGCGGTATCCAACATCAGGATGTTAGCAGCAGCTCGTTTACACTAACGAGGTGAAGGTTGTGGTAAGGGACTGGTTTGTCCAGCACACCCCACCAATGCTTCACTTATCTGGGAAGTCTGGCGGACAAGTTCCCTTAAAAGGGTCTAAATGCTTTCCAACGACACTAAAGTAAGTGGTAAGTATCAACGTAACGTCCCTGTAGATGGCACAGTGCCAACGCAAAACGGGCTTCGTCAGACCATCTGAATGATTCACAGACATTTCAATATGGAAGATTCAATATGTACGTTTTTCTACTAGGAGAACAACAAGAAAAGGACAAGAGAGAACCAGTGTTGGTAAAGCCCGGTACAGTACCTGGAAGAATTTAACTGATGTGTAGATAAAGAGTCCTGAACCAATGCCAAGGAGGGGCACGTCAATCGACTGCAAGACAGAGAAAAGGCATCTTCCCACTCATGACTGCTTCACATTATGCTTGGCTTTGTTAGTTATTTTATTAGTTTGGTTACGGGTTTGGTTTCAGTCTCTTTACCATGTAAAGTAGACATTTTGTTAGAATGTATGGGGCACTAGCGACTGACGCAGAGGATGTTACTCGGTATGTCACTGTCGGTTTTATTAGTCCTGAAGGATTAGTGGAAACTGAATTACAAGGCAGTGAGAGTGATAAAGAATGAGTCACACATCTGAACGTAGGTTCAAAAGGTCGTCAGAGGGTTTGGAGCTTTAGAGCAAATTATACTAAACAACCAACATCAATGCAGAAATCAGCATTCACAAACAGTAACAAAAGGCAATTTGATTGGTTCTCTGCCGATGTGGTGGTTACATGGTTGAACGAAAGGTTTATCCTGTAGTTATGTTGCAATACAAATGGCCCCCAGGATGAACAAATGGCATCAGAAATACAACAACAGACAATAAAAGTGAGCTTTTTTTCAAAAAGTATACTAATGCAAGTACTTTTAAATGTATTACTTGTAATTTTAAAAATAATACAGCAATTTAGACATTTGAAAAAACACAAATCAGAAATGTGTCATAGTTCAATGTCTGTTCCTTTAAAGTTTAAATGTTTCACAAGGTCTCTAATTTTCCACAGTTCTTTTTATCTGCATTTGTTCTCCTTTCTTCAACCAAACTAGTTTTAGGTTGCACAATAAGCCACTTAATCGTTTTTGGCTGCTTTTAATGACAATAATATTTAAAGTTGAAATATTTTTTACATTTCAGAACAGCATTCACAGCAGGCTCTGCTAGCTGCAGCGCAGCACAAAGCAAGAGAGGGGGGTGACGAGCAGCACCACACGGAGGGTGATTGACGACGCCAAGACACGCCCCCTGGCTCTGATTGGTTATCTCTAGTTAGAACTGGGAGCACTGGGAGAGCTTGATTTTTTTCAGGTTACCTGTCTCATACCATACTGTCAACACAGCGACAGTTTCAACAAATATTTAAAAACGAAAATTAAAAACTTAACATATTTAAAGAGCTTGTGCAAACAAAGATTGCTAAAAAAAAAAAAAAACCCTCTTTCGGGGCCATGAGAGTCCAAATCAGGGGACAGGAAAGGTCTCAGAGTGAATTTCACACATGTTCAAAAAAAGTTTAAAAGTTGTCCTAACAATTAGATACACTATAATAGAATATATTATATGCGTCCAGTCAGATTTATCAAACTTTTTTCAAGTTCTCTTTTTCTCCAATGTCAAATTTATCAAACATTGGATAAAAAGAGAACAGTTGCCTATAAATCACACTGCTTGTGCAACACAGAGTGAAAGCATATTTATAGTTTAGTTGGTCTAAAATATATATATATATATATATATATATATATATATATATATATATATATATATATTTAAAAAAATTAAACATTTACATTTGTCTTTATATTTGAAAAAAAAGCTCAATTTTTGTATGCCCGGTCTGCAGCGTTGTATTATTTCTTGAGAAAACAGTGACTGCGTAGTTGCATGCATAAATATTTTGGATGAAAAACACCTGCATGCAACTTTTCTCTACTAAAATGTGACAAATCTGCCGATTTGTGTTTGACCTGGTCCATTCGTCCCTTCGCTATTTTCATACGACAGTTTCTGTCTTTTCCTACACACCACAAAAACCAGAGATCTGCCATTGAACGTCTCCTGTCTGCCAACAACTGATCAGGGTTTGGTTGGTTATAAACAAAAAGTCTGATGGACTGGAAGCGACTTGCGTCAAGGCGAGGGTCTACAGAGGATACACACAACTGTCAGTCATGCTAGCTGTGCAGACTAATCACACTAATCATGCTTTTTGCTAATATACGACACTAAACACTCCATAATTTTAAAATTTTTAATGGATCTTTAAGGAAAACGGAGCATTTCTTGTCACATTTTCTTTCCATCCATCCGTCCACAATGTTGAAGTACCGGTGTCAAAACCTCTGAAAAGATGGATGATTAAGAATGACTGAGACTTAGTCACCAAAGTAGTCAGCGTGCGACGACACAGGAAGCAAACCAAATCTAACTGCGCAGAGGTTCACCGAAGTGAAACCCATTTGAATGACCAGGTCAGTGGGAGGGAGGGAGAGCGAGCATCAGCATTCATTCTTGCATTCACACAGCAAACAACAATGAGTTCAGTGAGGGCATGTGACGACAAGCCATCTGTACCATAACATGTTCTACAACCCATTCACCGTTTCCCTCAAGAATGGAGGGATAATCCCCTTCACAGCCCTCTGTACCTGATATGGCCTTGGCCCCTCGAGAGTCTCTTTAACCCTCAAGAGACTTCAACAAAACAGCTTCATTTAGAAAGCAGCTAAAGTGGCTCTCCTCTCTGACAAAGGAACTCCAGGCACTACGACCAGGAGGGGAATCAGACTAAAATGAATCAGATAATGGAGGTCAGCAGAGGGTGATGCTTTGGGAAGGGGGTGAACTTTTGGAGGCTTACTGGTTCTTGTTGGTGACCACCGGCAAGGGAATATCCTCACTCATGTCATCTAGGTCATCGGTTAGGCTGTTGGCGCGGGAGATGTCTATGGACGTGCTTTTATTGCCACTCCCCTTTACTGGAAGGGACAAAGACATGAGATAAAGTTACCAGTCGGATCGCAGCCAGGGAAGTGTTTACAAGGTTGAAACGGCGTCATTAGCCCGGGTGGACCAGGTGTTGGATAAAGACGACTTGTGCGCTCCGATAAATATAAATGAAATATCAAAAGGAGCCAAGATAAGTTAGCTGATGTTAGTTGTAACATAAATGAGAGAACTGGAAAAAGGCAGATGAACAGAAGGGTACCTGGGGAAGCAGGGCAGCTCAGAGTGAAAGATGACCAAGAGTGGTGAGGAGGGCCTAAAAGTGAGGGACACACAAAGGAAGAAAAGTCCATTAGAAAATAGGTCCCAAAACTTTCAAACGCATTCACACAAATTTAAGACTTTTTCACATTTTGTCACATTACAACCACCGACTTCAGTGTGTTTACTGGGATCCTGTGACAGATCAAACATGTAGCCATATTTAATTGTGAAAGAGCAGTTAGAAATACATCTTTTTCATGTTTGTCCCCTAAAACTTTGGTCCATTCTTCTTTGAGAAACAAGCTCAGTCCGATTTGATGAAGAGTGTGAATAAGTTTTTTCACTCTCAACTGGATTTATATCGCGGCCTTCAATAAACATCGATACTCTTCGACCTAAACAATTCAATCATTGTTGCTGTAAGTTTAGGGTCAAGGTCAATTCTGGCCACAGTGTCAAGTCTTTGGCAGTCTCTAGAAAGGTTTTCTTCCAGGATTTATCTGCATTTACCTAAATGCCATCACATGTTTGGATCAACCGTTTGGTTTCTGCTGAGGTAAAACATCCCCACACAGCATGACACTGCCACCACCTAGTTGCATCAGTGGACAGTGAGTTCAGGATGAGTGATGATTTTCCACAACATAAGAAATTATGCATGCAGGCCGAAGGGCGCAAGAAAACGTTTTCCAAATGTTTCCATGAGTTCAAGAGTTCTTCTACTGGTGAAAGAAAGCTAGTGCATCTTGTCATCATTTCATTAAAAGGGCAGTGTTAGGAGTTTTCCAGGCACACAGTGCTTCAGTTGTTAAAAAATGCCATGTAAATATCAAACATGACTTGAAAGAAATTGTACTTTGACATCTTGAAATTGGGCCTCTGTCTCTTTAAGGAACTCTTGCTCCTTCTGGAAGTCATCGACATGGCTCCTCTATTAACCCTCGTCTTTCTCATAATTTCATTGAGAAGTAGCTCCTTAATGGGCTCAGCAGATCCACAGTTCCACACTTTTGAGGCCTTAGAACAGCTTGATTTATACCGAGATTAAATTATTCACAGATTTGTTTAGGTGTTTTAGGGTAAAGGAGGGCTGGATGTAAATGCACACCACACTTTTCAGATTTTTATTTGTAAAAACAAAACAAAAAAACACAAATCATTTCCTTCATCTCCTCCACAATGAATCACTGTGCGTTAGTGCAGGACAGAAGATAAGAATCAGATTAGATATTCACGTTTGTGATGCGACAAAAAGTGAAAAGTTCAGGTTTATTCAGAGAAGTCCGGACCCGACACAGAGAGAGAGACAGAAAGAGAGAGAGAGGAACTGCAGAGCTCCACTTCAGCACTGCAGCTGGCTGGCTGACTGGGGCGGCTAAAAACAACAGCAAAGAACAACATGTGTAGCCGGGTCTTGACCTGCAGCCAGACTGTCAGCAGAGTTTGACGTGTCTCTCCTCCAAAGCACCAAGCCTCCATTGTGATGAAGAATGGCGAGGCAAATCTGCGTCCAAGTACTGAATGACCATTCCAATTCAAGTAAAGGCCTTTCAAAGCCACTTGTATTCCATCATCCGCTTTGCCCGACAATGTCAAATGTGGAGGTGGAGACGGGCAATGAGAGCGGAAGTGGAAGCAGAGAGAATAGGTAGAATATCCAAATATAACCAGAGCTGCCTTTGAGGGACCGTTTTATGTGGTTGTGAATTTGTTTCAGAGTCTAAAAACGACAGAATGGAATTTGATAAGGGGCTGATTTGACCGTCCAGCGAAAGAAAAACACGGAGAAGAAAAACGATAAGGAGATAGAGAAACTGCACTGAGTTGAGTTATTCTCTCAGACAGGGGGAGCTGGGCTGAGCCAGACAGATAAGTGGAACAACTAAAATCAGACAATGAGCCGTTCATTTCTAACCAACGCAGCTCCACAATGGCAGCTTATCAACTCTGCATCTCCCCTCGCTCCCCACCTCTCTACCTTTCTCTGGCCTGTGTGTGCTCCGCTTCCCCCGAGGACTCGGTCCGTATCTAGCCAAGCCAGTCCCGTCGCTCAGCCATTCTCTTGGCAGGGCACCCAGTAAAGAAAACAGGCCGGGTCAACTTGGGACCAGCGCTTGAGAGTGTCTCTGTTTGGCTCTGGTTTGGTCCGGTTGAGGACAAAGGCTCAGCCAGCCAGTAAGTCTAATTGAAATACAGTCTGGGCCACATTAAAGGGACGGGCTGGCTAATGATTAACACAGACGGGTTTTTAATAGCAAATAGAAGTACTTAGTGAAGTGGCTCCTTGGCCAACAATTACAAATACTTTTGCGTCACTTGTACAAGTTGCGTGTCTGTTTTGACATGACAAGAAGTAGCAGAGAGAAGACGTGAATAAGAACCTGAAGGCCGGGTTACCTAGAGCATTAGCTTGATGCAAGCAGTCACGTAAAACATGCGGTCGCCTTGCAAAAGTATTCAGACCCCACAGGATTTTTTTTTTCTTTCACAAATTAAAAGGTTTTGCCTTTTACAGCAATTACAACTGCAAGCATTTTAAGGTAGGTCTCCATCAAATTTGCGCAGATGTAAACAGTGAACTGTGCAAAACTACTGGTTGGTTGCTCTCCTTGCTTCTTATTTTTATTTTTTTATCTGCCGTTTTTTTTTATGGGGATAGATAAAAGAAACAAAGACACTTTAATGTCTGCATCACTGCACTGGCCTATCAGCTAAGGATCTTTTGAGAGAGTTGTGTCGTTCTTGTTCCATTTCAGACGATCATCCTTGACCCGTCTGCTGATTTCCTCCGTCTTCACAATGTTGTGTGTTCGCTAATATTCACAAGCAAACCTCTGAGGCCTTCACAGAACATCTGGATTTATGAGACTAAACTACACACAGCTGGGTACTCAATTTGCAATAGGAAATGTAAAGATTACGTATCGTTTCGGCGATCTTTTACATGAATTCTAACAGAATACAGTGAAGCTAAAGGGGTAGAAATACTTTTGCAAGGCATTGAGCTTTGTAGCAAACATGTCTCATTTAACGTTTGGTCGAACAGAACTCACCTGTTTTCCTGAACATCCTGGTAATCCCTGCAAAAGACGGAAATATAAGGAAGATATAACAAGGTATGAGAAAAGGTAAATCTTCTTTAAAAAAAAAAAAAAAAAAAGCTAACTAACTAACATGGAATATTTAGGACTTTTTAATGTTTCCAGTATAAGAAAAACACAATGAACATACGAAAATCAATACAAGTCAGTGATCAGTCGCCTTCCTACTCAGTTAAATTTGTATACAATTGTTGAAAAGAATTATCTGTTAGTTTCCATGTACCATGTTTCAAAACTATTTGCGACTCATTGATGTATCTGACACAAAGCCCATGCTCTTCAACTCGTACTTTATAATTACAGACTGCAGGCTGCAGACTATGGCGTCGTCCCCTCAATTTGTCACGTTCGCTCCTTTACTGATGCCTGTGAACTATTTGTTACACGAACACGAGAAATGCCCCGTACATAAAGACAGGATGTTTTGTGCTGTCTAAGCGATTTGACATCTCTTGAATTTCATTGCTTCTTTCCCATGCAACTGCGCCGTCTGCTCATTTTCCAAGATCCACCCAATTAAGCGGAAAACTTAAGCTCTTCCTGGTGTTGGTAGCTGCTCCCATAGTGATGGTTTGCCTTTATGTCAGGTTTATGTCACTGCAGCTCTTTTTATGACAGCGCGCTTTGACAGGAAAACCTCGTAAACTCAGTTTATTAACCTGGAATCTGGGTCAGTTAATTTGCTTGGGATGGCTTTTAACACAGGAAGCCAAACCTCCTCCCCCCCACATACCGACGAGTCCCCGCCATCCGCCGAACATCGTCTGCATGTACATTTTAAATCATCCCGAAATTAGGCACACACAGATCAAACTGTTGATTTAATACTCTTTGATCAATCTTTGCCATGTGTGCTGTCATAAACATGTCGGCTTTGATGTGACTGCCTTGGTAAACTGTAAACGGGATTACAAGAAATTCCCACTTGTAACTTTGACAAGCTGGGATCTTAAAGTAGTCTCCATTTAAGCCTGATGAGAGTGTCTGTGGCCAGCGAAGGGTAGCGGGGTGGCGGGGGGGGGGGACAGAAACCGTAAAGAGCTTGTAACTATGACCTCTAATCACCACTGAAGCAGTAATGGTTTCCATGTGGCTTAAGGGAGGCACCTGGTAGCCATCTTGGCTCTGAACGGAGGAGGACAGCGTCTCTGTTTACTGCGTGAAAATGAGGAGCCATCCCATAACAGCTCCTCCCATCATAATAACTACAGAGAGGCTCAAAGTGCTCTCCATGTCTGCTTTCCTCACTCTCCAGTGGTGAGAAACCAACTCAATCCATTATCGTTACTCTTTTACCGCCAGCAACTCCATTTCTAAGCTTTTGTTCCGACTCCACCGAAGACGTAAACGCACAGTAGCGGCCAAAAGATTGGACACACCTACCCATTCATTCGAAATGAATAGGTGTGCGCGAGGTTTTTCAGAAAATAAGTTTGACAACACAAAAGCAAAGCGTTTCTGAAGTGCCATAAAAACATGCCATTCACAATGAGGCCGTTTTGAACACCAAATTCCCCTCAGAGCGTAACAAATGTATTTATTTTTTTTTTGCTGAGATCATGGATCCCCACGGCCGCTAAGGTAGTATGATGTCGTTTAATGTCTAAATGTGCCTTACAGAAGTACCCACTGAACTTTGTAATCACAAACTTGAACTAACAAAAAGAAGTGTAAGGTCGTGTCGTGGATGGAAAAACGTTCAAAAATGTTTGGTGCGGATTTGTGTCCAACCCCTTTAATCTGATATCCCTCAGTAAACTCCTGTGCAACCAATTGCTTTTGGAGGTTCTCCAATTAGTAAATATAGTCCACCTGTGTGTAATTTAATCTTATCACACATACAGCTGTTCACTGAAAGACTCAGAGGTTTGTTACAGGACATTTTTCAGCAGCCAGAGTCGTTTTTGGAGGTCACCATTAACCCAGACATTTTCTCCTCTTTACTGTGTCCCTTTAAAACTGTATGCACAAAACTCTTCCATGGATGCTCTAATGCCTCCAGACAAATTAAGAAGTGTGACATAATCAGTGGTTGTAGTTTTATTAATTAGAAATTAAACCAAAACAAATTAAAAAAAACTAAAAGAGGTCAACGCTGAAGCAGGGGGAGGAGGTGTCTGCTCAGCATCTCAGGATGTCATGTTCCTATGTTGGACCCACAGCAGGTGGGTCAGGAGTTCATCGCTGCTCTCTGCTGATGATCTGGTTCTGTTGGCCTCATCAGGTCGTGATCTACAGCTTTCACTGGAGCGATCAGATGATGATGAGGATCAGTGCCTCCGAATAAGAGGCCAAATGGAGAAGTTTGAGCGTCTTAAGGTTCACGAATGAGGGCAAAATGCTGGAGATCGACAGGCAGATTGCTGCAGTGTCTTCAGCGATGCAGGTGGTGTACCGGTCTGTCATGGTAAAGAGAGAACTGAGACCAAAAGCAAAGCTCTTGATTTATCGGTTGATCTACATTCCTGTGGTCACAAGTTTTGTGTAATGACCAAAAAAATGAGATTGCAGATACAGGCGCCCAAAATGAGCTTCTGCCGCAGAATGTCTGGGCCCTGGATTGGTCATCGGGGAGGGGACTCAAGAGTAGAGCCGCTGCTTCTCCATGTCGAGAGAAGCCAGTTGAGGTGGCTCAGGCATCTGGTTGGTTAGGACATCTCCTGGATGCCTCCCTGGTGAGGCGTTCTGGGTACATCCTGGGTACAGGAGACCCAGAGGAAGACCCAGGACACCCATGGGGTTGGCATGGGAACGCCTCGGGATTCCCCCGGAGGAGCTGGAACAAGTGTCTGGGGAGAGGGAAGTCTGGGCCTCCATACTGCCACCCTCATGACCCGACTCTGGATAAGCGGAAGTCAGTGGATGGATGGGTGGATTTTGAAAATCATGTAAGATTTTCCTTTTCATTGTTTCATTGCGCACTACTCTGCGTTGGATACAAAATCCCATCAAAATACATGGAAGCTGGGAGCCGTAACATGACACAATGCCATAAAGGTCGAGGGTTGCACGGAGAATACCTCTGGAAGGCACTGCATCCGTCCAGCAAAGCTTCGTTTCACCCGTTTTTAAACAGCAAAGCTAGTAGCACTGCCGTATGAGTTCCTGTTTCAAAACACTCTCCGAGAATCATTTCGAGGTGTCAAGTTTAAAAAACAAATCTCTAGTCAAGAGATCCAAAAGGACTGGGTTTAATCAAGCGGCAATAAAGTGGGATTTGGTGCTTTCATGCGTAATCTTGGCAAGTTCAAGCGCTTGGACTGATGGAAGAATTGCAATTTAAAAAAAAAAAAAAAAGGTTAGCAGGCTTCCTTTGAAACAGCTGCCAGAGTGAAAGGAGCTCAGTCAGAGCATGTTACAAATGAGCATTTGATACGAGTTTGTAGCTCAAACTGTACAGCAAAGTGATATGAGAGACTAAGGACTTTTTATGATTTTTTTTTCCAGTAGAGCATTACCTTCAGCTGTCCCCCTCGGCTCTTCGATGAAAAACGAGACGTCCTTCTTTTCCACTGAGTCGTCAATGTGGTCATAGGTGATTTGAGGGATCGACACGGCCCGCTCTGAGGCAACACCCAAAGAGCCGGTTCCTTTGGACTTCAGCCGTCTCTTGGTCCCCTTTTTCTGACAGAAAGAGGAAACATCAGGTCACCGCTGTTGTTATGATTAAACTGTAAATAGTCTATTTATCACAGCAGTGTAATAAATCCAAGAGTTAACAGTAAAAAAAAAAAAAAAAAAAAAACAGCTCCAAGATGAGGTCATGTTTGACGTTTTAATGATTTTCCCCGACTTTCTTCTCTTATTAAACAGACATCCACGTCATTGCAGATGCTGAACTGATCTCGCTTGTGAGCAGCAACAGATGGGTCATTAACACTCATATGAAATCTATTTCTGGTTCGAAGGTGCGTAAAATTCAAGTCAAGTAGTTTTACACTCAAAATGATCACCAGAGCAGCTGCGAAAGGTTGACTGAGGATTAAGACGTAGAAGTTGTACGTTTCTGGAACGGTTGGCAGCGCCGTCGCCTCGCAGCAAGAAGGTCGCGGGTTCAGATCCTGAGCTGTGGATGCATGTTCTCCCTGCGCGTGCACGGATTCTCCCTGGAAACTCCGGCTTCCTTCCACAGCCGAAAAACATGACAGATGGATGGCTGGATGGGTTTCTAGTCACCAAATTGTGCCTCACCCTTCAAGGTTTCACCCTTAGAGAATCTGTTCAGTTTTCAGCTTTTTGTCCTGAAAAACTCAACACCGTTCAATCACAAATTATTACTGCCCCCAAAATATTTTAATAGATAATCAAGAACTTCATTAGGTACCAATGTATACTTGGCTAAAAAGTCATAATGTGTAGAACAATACTGCTTAGAAAGCCCTACTACATGATTCTGTTTGCCTTGGATACTCTGTACAGGTGTAAAGCCGTAACTGGCACAGAGAAAAAGACTAAGAAATTGAAAAGTTGAGTGTCAGACAAAAGTTTTGCACTTTGAAAACTTTACAGAACCTTAAGAAACTCAAAATACTTTTATTCAAGTAATAGCATTGATTCGAAAGCGTTGAATCCACAGCTCTTCTGTAAAATTGCAAGCTACAACTTCCCAAAAACCCTGAAAGACGCCTACGTCTCCTCTGTTGGCCGAATTATGGATACATTTCATGTAACTCTTTACATCCGGCGCTGCCATGATTTTTAATGGCTCTTCGCGTGAACATTTCTCACTTAATGGAAACACAGGAATTGCAAAATTGTGTTTTTTCCACGACAGGAGAATACTGACGACGTTTTGCGCACATTTGTAAATGAAGAGCAGGTAGTGTGTTGCATAGCAGCCGTTAATGATAAAGGCAAGAACTTTCTTTACAAGTTAAAGCTAAAAGTAATCTGATAATAAAAACACTAATAAAATGAGCACGTAGAAAACACACCTATTTATTCACAATAGTGATATGAAGGATTCTTCAATTTCGCCAATGACACCAGATAACTTTCTTTCTCCCAGCGTTTTTCTTTTTTTCTACAAATATGCAGAACATCTGACTTCTTCAACAAACAACATTATTGGAGTTTTCACTGTTTTTATTCACTTCACGCATTTTCTCCTCGTTTCACACACTACAGCCAAATCAAGGGAGAACAAGAGTACAGCAGCTGCTTGTGATGGACTGAGATCTGGTACCTGCTGAGGACAACCGAGACCAGCGAACTGACTGCCATGCTGCTTTGTGACGTGGAGATGCATCCTGGTGGAAGTGGCCATCAGAAGATGGATGCTCTGTGATCTGCAGCAACACTCAGACAGTTTGCTGCAGCTCAAAAAGTGCCAAGAAATGTCTTCCATAGTGTTACGTCACCACCAGCCTGAGCCGTTGCTACTTTTGTGGGGGGGTTTTTCCCCGGAGTGGTGTTCTGCTGTCGTTTCCCCGTTTGCTGTAAACGCTGGTGTCCAACAGCCAGCCCACTAAAAAGCACAGTCCATTTGATTTGGATCTTTTGCAGGTGTTTGGGAAAGTGTTCGACAAGAATTTTCTCAGAATAATAACTGAACCCATTCAGCCGCTCGCCCTGGTGTAAAAAGGCCAGGCCGTGCCAGCGACAATGATTTAACACAAAGCGTTTCTTCCATTACACATCCCAGTCTTACCAAATCATGAACTCAGGCTGTGATGATATAAGTGTTGCCTGCTTAATCTCTTGTTTAGTGGAGTGAAATCATAGCTGCGTACCAGGCGACTCGGTGAGCGTGCCGTCTCCAGGCAGATCCGCGGAGCAAACAGTCGAAATTACGAAGGTGACCTTTCAACGTAGCTCCGTATTTAGATTGACTGGGCCAGACTGGGGCATTCACATGCAGTTACGCCTAAACGGACAAATGACGTCTTGAGTCATTGATGGAAATTACAAAAGAGTGGCGAACGGTTCACAAGAAAACAAAACGATAAGACGACAGTGACGCACTTTGTGAAAATTTGTGAAGAGGAAGAGAGCGAAGGAAAAGCATGATCAATAAAAGAAACAATAGAAGAGAAGAGAGAGGAGAGAGACAGCGAGTCGGCTACAGGACAATCTGGGGAAGCATCTTGAAAGACCGAGAAGAGGCAGAAGGGAGGAAAGACAGAGGAGAAAGTCACATGCCGAAACAGAAAAGAGCGGAAACAGCCTTCATTCTCTCCAATACGTGTGGGCCCAACGCGACACAAAGATTTTTTTGTCGTTGTACTACTTGACAAAGGTTTACTCCCATGAGAAAGGCGGCGGTGACATCATCTCAACTGACTGGGTTTTTGTCCGGCGAAGACAAAGGCCTCGAGTCATCCTGCTGGAGTCAAGCCTTTTGGGGTAGGAGGAGCTGCTGTGTGTGTGTGTGTGGGTATTTGTGTTTTCTGGGCATTGTGTCCCTCAGCGTGTGTGTGTGTATTAGTGGGAACTTTGCTCGCCCTTTTTATGCTTTATGGTCTCCGCACAGTACAGCTAATATTGTTGCAAAAGGTGAACGGCACAAAAAGGACAATACACATGCAATATGAGGTAACGCAACCCGGCAGCGTCCGACGTCATTCAGCTCGGTTCTGAGGAACTCGCTGGCCAAATGCATAATGTGCATTTTAACAAACAGTTCGGGTGAACTGAAGCGAGGAAGCAGTTACCGCCAGGTTCAGCTTCTTGATGCTCGGACTGCCGTTGTCTGCTTGCGCTGCGGCCACACCCTCTGGAGTCAAGACGTACATTTTCCACGTAGCAGCACAGCCGTTTGGTTTCTCCGCAGCGTAACACCTCCAGAGTGTCTGGAAAACACAGACGACAAAAAGGGAAAAAAAAATCGAACGAACGCCGCAAATCTAAACGGCCCGCTTTGGCGTTCTGGTGCAGCCACATCTCCAACGCTAATAAATAAGGCGCGCGACACAATATTAAACAGCCACTGGTTTCTAGTTACAGCCAGCGCTATGCAGGTGAATCTTAGTGACTGTGGACCAACCAGATTACGATCTGTTCAGGCATCTGCTGACACACTTTTAAAGTCATTTGGCTAAAATGCCATAATATCCATTGGAGCCCTTTGATCAGTATAGGAGATAATAACCACCAGGTAAAAAACATGGGTGAGATAAGAAAGGTAGACATTGTTTATAGTATGAAAGAAAATCAATGCTTTACATATTAATGCTGGTTTAGCACTGTTCATAAATAGAGAACAACGCTTTATAAAAGCATCCCCTTTCACACAAATGCTACGATAGACAAGCAAAAAGCAGAGCGTAGTAGTCAAGCAGAAGAAAAATGGGTTTAGGGTTAACCCAAGTAGCCATTGTTCACACCTATTATATTATTTAAGCTGTAGTTTTCTCATACCATTTTTAATTTGCTGAGTTTAGAGTTGCAGTCGCTACACGGGGCATTGATTTTGATGTACCATTACAGGTGTGTCTTGTAAAATAAACATGTGTTCACCACAGCATACAATTGTTGAGGCAAGGATCCAACATGGAGCTGCCATGTTGGATCTCGAAGTCGGCATTTTGAAAAATTCTTCCACTTTTCGCCTGTATGATCTGACCTGGAGAGCGTGGGGGGCGTTTCGGTTGATTTGGCTGACAGGAAGTAGAATTACTCATAATGAAGACAAAGGAGCATAGCAAATTATAAAATTGTAAAAAGAAAAAGTCTAACTGAACACAATACGCCTTCACACTTTAATTTTTTAGTTAATTCATGGTTTTGTGTTGGTATTGCCATTTTTCTTACTGCTTAATTTGTGTTTTTAATGTTATAATGTGTCTTTGGGTGTTTTGAAATGCATTATTATTATTATTATTATTATTATTATTATTAAAACCTTCAAACTTGTTTGAATCTTCCACTTTGTGTTGACAAGAATCGATTTCATTTTTGTCTCAGCTTTGGATTTAATTTGACTGCCGAAAAATTGTTGGTAAGAAATGACTTTGGTCAATTTTACCAGGGATACACGTCAAATAGAAACGCTTCCACTTGTTTAAGGAGAAAGCGATGCCGGTTTCCATGGCGACTACCTGGATGAGGCATGCCGCAGCAGGGATCTGCCTGTTGAAGTGCTTCTGTCGCTGCTTCTGCTGGACCTTGAGGGCAAATCCTGAACCCAAAATCCCCTGAATGGGAAAAGTACAGTACAACTTTAATCTTCAAATATTTTGCTTTGAATTTAGAGGCTAGAAGTACATCATAACACATCCAAATGCAAAACTGCACATATGGATCTAGACAAAATTGTATTTACAGCAGGGAGAGCGAAGAACGAGATAGCAAAGACGCTGAAACAGGAGGCGATGGCCTTCCCTATCCACGTCTGAGGAATTTTGTCTCCATATCCGATGGTGGTGACGGTCACCTAAGGGAAAAAATAAATAAACAATGATTTGAGATTTTCCTCATACCAACCACGGTTATCCAAAACAAAAAACCCAATCCGACTCATGAAGCTTTCATGAGAATGAAAGCTGGGTGAATTATTACACGTTTACTACAGAGGTCTCGTTTAAAATGAAACTTTAATGTCAAATAAAACAGCTATATTAAACCCCCTTTCATTTTAATTAAATGGAAACGCTATAAAACGGTCTTTCAAAGACCCTAAAACTTGATTTGGACAATAAAGAAGTTCATCGGCCATTGTTGAGTTGCCCCACAACTGTCTGAACGATTGCGGAGGCATTTGGGTTTCTTTCTTCTTCGGGGGGGGTGGGAATGAGATTCCCATCCACTAATCCTCACTGAGTGCAGGAATTTGCAGGGCTGAGGAGGGAAAACAAATAGCTCTCGCGCTCGCATGTGCGCCCCGCTCTGAAAGCCGAGCCAGTTCTGACACATTCAGAGCGCGCTCGGCTTAGCCTGGGTGTCTGTGGGGCATCGGCGGGCGAGCCACCGCTGCGCCACCGACACAAAGCGGCCGATGTAAGGTGAGATACTTTAAAGAGCTTTGAGGGTAAAAGAAAGAAAGAGGGGAGGCGGGAGAGGCGGGCTGGTGTATGTTAGGGCTGGGCGGAGCTCCGGGGGGATTTAATCACTCATCCACAAATCCGATGACTAAACAATGTCCTCCTGACATAAGAGTGGAATGCTCTATTCACAAAACAGGTCCTTTCATTCAGATTGTAGAGTGTGGGGCCAAAACCGCTCCAAAGCCCCACACACACACACACACACACACACACCTACACACACACACACACACCTACACACACGTCACAGGGCTGGTTTTTAAATTATGAACAGGGCCTTACAGCGTACAGACTTTAATGTAAATATTGAGGTTTAATGTGATGCTGACAGCCGCTGCCATGGTTTCAGAGTGGGGATCCGATTCCTCCAACAGGAAAAACATAAATGCATATGAGACAAATAGTCATGCCAGCTGACATGCAATTTTGCACAATTTGTTCAAAATGGAGCAGATAGAAAATTAAAAAAGAAATCTTATGTTTTGCTGCACTTCTCATCAAATTCATTCCAGTCTCCACACCAGTTAAAATCTTAAATGACTCTCAGGCCTCACATTCTGATCACTTACCGTTATTCACACATTATTCACATCCATATTTTCCAATCAGTTCATTTTTGTCCAGGTATTTTTTTTTTTAAAGCTGGTTTATATTTGTAGTTAGTTTGAGCTCATCACTTGATCGATCCCATAGATGTACCCCACACACTGATTGGTTGTTTTGGTTGTTCTGACACATTGTGTGTGTGTGTGTGTATGTGTGTTTTTAAATTTCCTTCTCTTAAATCATATTGCTATGCTTGTCACAAAAAGGGGAACCAATCACAGTTGAGTTTCCGTTTTCGTTCAGACAAGATTCCAGCAGTGGAGAAATCAGTGCAGCTGTGGTCAAATGGATGCACTGGTTTGGTGTTTTGTGTGGTTCTACGTATGTTGGCATTACTTATTGTTACCTGTGTTGCTATTTGTGGGCAGAAGAAAAGAGTTTCTCCTCTCTTTTTTTTTGACATTTTTCTGGTGTGGGGACATTTTAAAGAAAAGAAGAACAAGTAGAATGAAAATATTTTTATTGCGCTTTTGTGCTGAAGGTTTTACAAGTGGCACAGACTTTTTGTATCACCCAGTTGACGACAAGTGTTAACGCTTTCACTCAAGTAGAGTTGAGTACTTTGTCCACCATTGATATCAGCAGCAATGTAACCCGCTGTATGGATCTAAATCTAATAACGCCGTGGAGTGTAAACAGAAATGAGCCCCGTTATCTAACCATCAGCAACAGGCAAAAGGAAAAAGAAAAAGACGGTCTGTGGGAGGAGAGCGAGGCTTTAGGGGTAAGGAGTTTGGGATATGAATCATAGCATCGGCTCGTCCTCCAGCTGTGCGGTGCACCTGCACATCCGAACGTCCAGATTATGCCAAGAGAAGGAATGCGCTGTGGAAAAGCTTAGCAGGTTCCCATCAGCACAGTGTCATTTCAGCAAACGCGTGCGCACGCGCACACACACACACACACACACACACAGCCACACACACACACACACACACACAGGCGCACACACGCGCACACACACACACACACACACACACAGCGCCTGCATTCCTTACTCCACCTATTATAAGCGCATATCATGACTCTCGAGTCTACAGTTTCTGAAAACCACAAAGTGCAAATCCCAGAGTGCGGTTCTTTTTCCTCTGTGCTGTGAACAGAAAAAAAAAAAAAGAAAAAAGAAAGCAGAAGAAGAAGAAATCACAAATAACAGCCTGCGCGTAGCAGGGGAGGAGCGACGCGACCCTCGTAACCCCGTGTTACATAAAGGTAGCAACCCCGCAATTAAAGTTTTAATTAAGGGAACTGACACTTTATATCGGTGCTCTAAAAGTCCTTTGAGGCAAAGATGCAAGAGGTGAATGGTTTATTACCGTCTTCTTTGTGTCAGGCTGATCCCCTGCACAAGGCCTGCCATAGGTTTCTCATTATTCCGCACTTTCAATTCAAAAGTTTAATTAACTCCTCTGGAAACCCGAGCCTTCAACGCGGGAGTGAAAGAGACACAGAGCGTCGGGGAAAGCATCGACACGTTTGGGTTATCTGTTTCTGTCTCGCTCCTGAGTGACAAAACAAAAAACGACCGAGAAATAAAAGCTAAAGGAAGATGATCGCTCATCCAGTTACGCCGACCACGTTCAATTTCTCAATTAAATGTGCTTTTTAACTGTAATTTTGCTCTTTAACAACAGAACAAATTCTGGTTTTTGGTTTTGCGTTTTGGTCGTGACCTTTCCAGCGAGGGGGCCGACTTCAGCCGTATTATTCATGATTCTGGCTACACAGTGCCGTGAAAACGTATTTCTCCCGTACAGATTTCTTCTGATGTCGCTTTCTTGTTGCACCTAAATGTCTCAGATCATTAAAGACTCATTTTAAAATTCAGACTAGCATAACCTTAAAACCCAAAAGCGGTTTTCAGAAGCCCGACTGCTACCAGACACGTAGAGTTAAGAAGCCGCTTTAACAGAAGCTGCCCGATGGCATTTAGTAAAATCGATAGCTGAAGCAGCTCAACAACAGATGAGTCTAGAAAAGGTTTCAGAGGGAGGCGTTTCTAAAACTTTGAGACCCACAGTGAAAACCGTTTTCCACAGAGTGACCATTTCCACTGGTTCAGGAAGTGCTTGACCTATGAGGACATCAGCTGTAAAGACCTCACTTGTAGCACCTGAGGTCATTGTTCATAATCCAACAATAAAAAAAAAAATTTAAATAAAAAAAAAAGAGAGAGACTGGGCAACAAATGGCCAGGAGCTCCAAGGTCAAAACCATTACTGACCAAAAATAACACAAATGTCAGCAAAACGTTCTGCAGACTGATGAAAGGATTCTGGAAGTTTGTTCAAGATTGGTGGAGCTGAACGCTGCTTCTCCATGTCTGGGTCTGCTTCTGTGACGTGGTTCAGTTCCTATGGATGCCCAGTATGAAGTTTGAGGAAAAAGAACCTTAGAGGATCTCAGAGGTGGTGGTACTGTAATAGTGTAGCCTTGCTTTGCTGCTTCAGATCTGGGTGATTTGCTGTAAATTATGGAGCCATGCGTTCAGCTCTCTAGCAGAAATGCCCAGTTGTCAGTTTGTGACCTTAAGCTCGAGCCCAAGAGGCAAAATGAGCCAAAACATCCCAAAAAAGTGTAGTATTTAATGCCTAAGAAAAAGATGAAGGAGGATTTTGAGTGGCCTACTTAAAGTCTGGACATAAATGCAATTCAAATGCTGTGGCATGACCTTAAACACTTGAAAACTGGGCCACAGTGACCCACTTGATGTAATTTGTTATGACACAACTAGTCATTACGCTTAGAGTACAATTACTTTTCACACTGAGTCAAGCTGGTCTGGATAGCTTTTCCCACCTAATAAATAAAATAACTTCCATTTTGAAGCTGCTACATTTGCTAGATGGTCTGAAACATTTTGGCGATTGCTTTAAGAATCCTCTAAGACTCTCTGAGCACGAAGCATTTCAGTCTGCTGCCTTACCACGCCCCACCACAGCGCGTCAGCGTAGCTGGAAAAGCCCGTCTTGCCCTCCTCGTCCACGGCGTCCTTCTCCGCCAAGTAGACGAAGTACGAGGAGAAGATCAGGCCCAGGAAGCCGATGTACAGGGTGGTGATCAGCTCCTGAGGGAAAACGACAGTCGGGAAGAGAAGAAACGGTGAAATAAAGTACAGAATGGAGGCTCAATGCTTTGACATGATTCTAACACTCGGCTTTGAGCATCGACGCGTTTGGGTTATCTGTTTCTGTCTCGCTCCTGTGCGATAAAAGAGAAAACAACCGAGAAATAAAAGTGTTTCTGTCCTCCATCTGGGACAGAAACTAAGAAGCACATTTGATTTCTTGAGTCAAATATCAATCAAGAAAACAAATTATGGACTCGATACTTTTCTTTTACTTTATTTATTGCTTTTTAGGTTTGTGGGAAACAATTAAATGAATAAATTATAATTTTTTTTTCTTTTTACTTTGCAGGCGCACAAGAGCAAACATCTCAGGGTTTGCCCCAGTGTATTATAAGCCTGACGGGTCACCAGGCTTTACTTGTGACCCCACCAGGCTAAGCATTGCTCATTTATTTAAGTCTTTTTAAAATGTTTGCATGTTTTAAGACTTTACAGTTGGTGTTCAGGTAGTAATATTCCCCATCTCTCAATAATACATAATTATCAAGTGATATTTTCAAATTTCCTGTCAACTTTAAACAGTTATTAAACTCAAAAACACAATGGGCCGCTGGATGAACGACTGCCTTAGAAAGTTTTCTGGGGGGGAAACTGTGCTCCGGCATTGTCTCCTTATGTATCCGATGAGAGTTTTTCCATACACAGATGCCTGAGCTTTTCCTTCTTTCATTCACTTTTGTACCAAATTGGGTGTTTGTTTTTTTTTTGGCAGTCACTTTTCAAAGATGGAACATAATGACCTGATGCAAAAATGGTAAATGGGACCACCAGAAGCACTTTACACCATAGTAACTTTTACCAAAATCTTGAACATTCAGACTCAGTCAGGCAACTTGAAATTAGGTGCCTTGCCCAAGGGTACATGAACATGTGGCATGAGGAAGATGAAATCAAACCCACAATCTTCAGGTCCCAAGACAGCTTCCCACTGAGCCACCGCCACATGTCCGCACTCGCTGCACCGGTAAACCATTAGTGCTCCGTGCTTTGTAAATTAGACACTAGAAGAGAAAATAGCTTGTGTGAAAGACATGGAGAGCAACAGTGAAGATCTGAAGGCACTCCTTCTCTATCTGCTTCTTTAACGAGCAATGCATTTCGACTAAACGGAGCATATCACCCAACAACACAGAAAAGGCAAAGAATCACATCGGACTCACTCTTACAAGTAGGTTAATGACCCTCTCCACTTAAGGCTCAATGTCAGGTTCCACACCTCTTTGTGTGTCAAAGACGTGAATGTCAGGTTTGACCCAACGAAAGGCACACAGCATTCTCCAGGGATTAAAGAAAAGAGCGTTACTCTGACGCCATTGTGCATCAACAAGAGAGAAATCTAAAACAAGTGTACGATGATAAAGAGGAGAAAGAAAAACAGCGGTGAAGGTTGACTGCTCCTTTTCTTCTCCTTATAAAGCCAGATCTGCCATAGATTTTTGCTCACGCACGCACACCGCCATGTCACGAGGAGGAAATTTAATGGGGATTTTAACTCTGTGTACAAGCAATAGTAATGCCTGCGCCTTTTGTTCCCCACAGAAAAAACAAAACAAAAAAACACTTAAACTTCTTTATGTTTAGCCATGTTAGAACCTTATTGGATTTTATTGAAATTGTATGATACAAAAAAAATAGTGTGTGATTTTAAACTACCGTATTTTCCGGACCTTACTATAAGACGCATCTATAAAGTATAAAAAAAAAAAAAAAAAAAAAAAAAAAAAAAAAAAAAAAAAAAAAAAAGAATAGACTGAAAACGTACTTGTATAAGCCGCACCGGGATATAAGCCGCTGATATCTCTGCTGCTCTCGGTTTTTCACAAGTCTGTGAAATGTGCTGGATTTATTAAGGATGCAGCCCTCCGTCTCCAACGCCGAACCATGGATTCGTTCAACCCGAGCTTAGCAGGTATCGATCTCTACTGCCAGATCTTCAGCCTTCAACTTAAAATCTGCATCATATGAACTTCTTCGTGTGATTTCCATGATCAGGGGGTATGAATCTGAAGAAATTTCTCTGTCGTGCCTGCTGCTAGCATGTGCTTGTACTAAATGAAAATCAGCACTTTCTTCTTCTTCTTTTTGTTTTATGGCGGTTGGCAAACAACTTATAAAATCAGCACTTCTTTGATTTCCAATTTTGACTTCCAATGATTCCCTTCCTGCTAAAGCGCCNCCTGGCGGTTGAAGAAAAATCCACAGAAAAGCTGCACCGGGCTTCAAGCCGATATGGTTCAAAGAGTGGGGAAAAAGTAGCGACTTATAGAAAAATACGGTATTTTTACTAAAGAAAATATTGAAATGTGTCCCATTTGGAATTTGCAAGCCATGACAAGAACCAAACAACTTTTTGTCCCCTACTCACCATGAAACATGGTGCCAACAGCATCATGCTAGGGGGATGTTTTTTTGTTGTTGTTGTTTTGTTCAGCTGGTCAGATGGACGGCGCTAAATTCAGCGACATTGAAGACAAAGGCTGGAAAAAGCTTAAGACTGAGCTACAGGCTCACTTTCCAACAGAATAACTATCATAAATTGGCCCAGTCAAAGTCAAGACGTGATGCCCTTGTCCGATTATCCAGTTGTGAGGTGGAATGGTAGTTGTGAGTTGCTAGTTAGGCTAAAGCCTAAACTAGCAAAAGTTTAGGCTTTAGCTGAAAGTTTAGGCTTTAGCTGAGGTAAGTTCAACTCGGGGCTAAAAATATATACACATCACTGTCTAGCGATTCCATTTCGATTTTTAGTTTCACGATTCGATTCAAAAACAAATTTTCTATTCAAAATGTCAAGAGCAGTGGTTCTTAACCTGGGTTCGATCGAACCCCAGGGGTTC